GGGAAGGGGGGAAGGGGAGGAAATTGCTCCTTATTGTCCGACTGAGTTTTTGGACAAGGTTCTTAATATGTCAAAGTATTCATCTGTCCCTAAGATGTTTTTTTAAATTAGAGATATTGAATTGTGTCAAATGTCTTTTTACTATACCTTGATGATCATTTGATTTTTTTGCTCTATTTGTTAAATTTTGATAACAGATTTTCTAATGTTGAATAGTATTTGTGCTCCTTCAATAAAATCTACTTATGCGATACCATTCTTTTAATATTATTTATTTGTTTTTGCAAATATGTAAGATTTTGCATTCATATTTATGTATGACCCTTTTCTATATACTATCTTATAGTATTTTTGTTGGGTTTTGTAATCAGTTTTTCTAGCTTCATAAAAAGAATTTAGAAACTTTGCGTTCTGGAAAAGTTTATGTGGTAAAATAATTTTTCGTTGTGTCAAGGTTTAAAAGAATTTACTTGTGAAATCGTTTGATCCTGAAGTGTTTTTTGTTTTTGTTTTTTGTAACTCTTTAATAACTTATTCAATTTTAGGTTTTAAAATATCTTTTCTGGGGTTAATTTGAATATATTCTCCAAACACCCATTTCAATCAAGTTTTCATATTCATTTATTTGCACAGGGATTTACAAAATGTCTTTTATGAGAACCACAAACAGAGAATCCTATACCAGTTTCCCCACATGTAGTAGAACTCTCAGAGCCCACCAACTTATACTTTTATTATTTCTCTTTAGGGATTTGACTGAGTCTTAATCTTGATTACAGCATCTTGAGGGTGAGAAGGTCTTTTTCTCGTCCCTGCTGGCTTCTCAGCTTCCCCTCGCCCTCGCTGTCATCTGCAGATATTTCTCCCAAGTCAGGGGTCTGAGGACTGAACGATGGGAGTCCTGATGGCTCTATCTATTGGATGTCTGGCTGCCGTTATTTAAATGCTTGGATGGTTAATTTAATTCTATTTTTTTCCCCCTCTTTAATATTCCCTCCCCCTTTTCCACTCCTTACCTATGGATGTTGCCATCTCTCTTTTAAGAACTGGATCTCTGAAAGCGGGGCTTCTCCCCACCAAAGAGCAGTGAGCACCCGAGACCTGGCGCACCCGGAGTGTGGTCCGTGGCTCCACCTGGGGCGTGAACCCAGAACCTTCTGAGAGTAAAGCAGATGTGCTAACCACTACACTATAGAGCCAGCCCTCGATGGTTAATTTTCTATGTCAACTTGACTGGGCCACAGGCTACCCAGATATTTGGCCAAACATTATTCTGTGTGTTTCTGTGAGGGTGTTTTGCATGAGATTAACGTTTAAATTGGTAGACTCTAAGTAAAGCAGATTGCCTTCCATAGTGT